TCACACACACACACACACACACACACACACACACACACACACACACACACACACACACACACACACACACACACGCACACAAAAACACACACACACAAAAGTTGACTCACTTGACCAGCCCCCTCCAGCCCTCCACATATTGATCCAGGAAGATCTCCTTGCTGTCGGACAGACTGAGCCTGAAGGAGTCGATCACTTCCTGGAGAGAGAACTCCTCCGACATGCTGCTTCACGAACAGAACCAACACAACCAGGAACCAGAACCAAAGGAACCACAACCAGGAACCAGAAAAAAACAGAACCAAAGGAACCACAACCAGGAAAGCTACCCGAAAGCCACTGGACCTTAGAACCAGCAGCTGACCGAGGAGAGATGGTGGTTATTAAATACTGAAGACTGAGGTCAGAGCCGGAGAGAGACCGGAGAGGGACCGGAGGAATTAAGACCGGTAGAGACTCTTCAGGAACAACCTGTCAGTCCAGAACCCTCTCTACTGCGCAGACTCCAGATCCCTCTACTACGGAGACTCCAACCGTTGAACTCCGGAAAACTGAGAACTGCGCCTTCAAAATAAAAGCGTTGCCTTCCATGAAAATATGTACAAGAACCAAAAGTAAATAATAAAGTAAAATAGGAAACATGCTATGAAGAATATTACAATATAAAGTCAGCAGAGTAGATTAAAAAGTACAATACAAAGTGAAAAACATTATAAAAATATGTATTGGAAAGAAATAAAGTTGCAGCTACTTTATTTTGAAGGCGCCAACCGGAAGTTGTGTCTGTTGTTTAAAAAAGGGGCAGAAATGATCCTCGTGTTACTGTTTAGAAGATAGATTCAAACATTCCTCATTCATTATAAAGTTAGTTATAAAGTTAGTCATAAAGGTAATCAATAGTTTAACTTGTGAGATGCCGGAGATCAAAGTGACGCCGCTGGGTGAGTGACGTCAGGCTGCTAGCCACTGTTAGCTCCTGAATGCTAACTGCCAACAACAGTCTCTCTATTTAAACTTCTTATCTCCACTCAGATTTACTGCAAACACTGTGTTACTCTCTCTCATAGCGGAGCTGCTGTGTGTCCTGGGTTCATCATGTTCTGTTTCTAACCGATTCATAGCTCTATCTAGGTTGTTTCTCTAACGGTTTATCTTCTTCAACTGATTTAAATAAGTGTATGCAGTAGTTTGATAGCTGAGGACCATAAAGGAGGGTATGGTCTTTAAAGGATATGTAGTACAGGAGGTAATAGTTTTTAAAGGATCTGTAATACAGGTATTACAGATGGAGTTACAGTAGTCCGGCAGTGGCTCAGTCAGTAGGGGCTTGGACTGGGAGCACAGGATGTATTTATATATATATATATGTGTGTATTATATGTATATTATATATGTATCTATATGTGTATCTCTGTGTGTATGTAGGAGCGGGGCAGGACGTGGGGCGGAGCTGCATTCTGGTCTCCATCGGGGGGAAGAACATCATGCTAGACTGTGGCATGCACATGGGATACAACGATGATGTAATATTACTATCATTACATTAAAGTAAACATGTTGTTGTTGTTGTTGTTGTAATATAATAAGGCTGTGTTTCAGAGGCGGTTCCCAGACTTCTCGTACATCACTCAGAACGGGCGGCTCACTGAGTTCCTGGACTGCGTCATCATCAGGTCTTTATTACACTTCTTTAATATATAGACATGTATTCATGAGGATGAACCCCTTGAGATGCACCGTCTGGTTTTCAAGGGGGTCCCGACAGAAGCAACGTCTCACAGACACATGAACAAAACAACAGAAAGCAAAGCATGACATGAATATACAAATAAATAAATGTTGACCCATTGTCCCAGTCACTTCCACCTGGACCACTGCGGGGCGCTGCCCTTCATGAGTGAGATGGTGGGCTACGACGGACCCATCTATATGACCCACCCCACGAAGGCCATCTGCCCCATCCTGCTGGAGGACTTCAGGAAGATCACCGTGGACAAGAAGGGGGAGACCAACTTCTTCACCTCGCAGATGATCAAGGACTGCATGAAGAAAGTAGTTCCTCTCAACCTGCACCAGACCGTCCAGGTGAGACCAGATCACACACCTGAGGGTCTCCACAGATCAATATCACACACCTGAGGGTCTCCATAGATCAGTATCACACACCTGAGGGTCTCCATAGATCAATATCACACACCTGAGGGTCTCCATAGATCAGTATCACACACCTGAGGGTCTCCATAGATCAGTATCACACACCTGAGGGTCTCCACAGATCAATATCACACACCTGAGGGTCTCCACTGATCAATATCACACACCTGAGGGTCTCCATAGATCAGTATCACACACCTGAGCGTCTCCACAGATCAGTATCACACACCTGAGGGTCTCCATAGATCAGTATCACACACCTGAGGGTCTCCATAGATCAGTATCACACACCTGAGGGTCTCCATAGATCAATATCACACACCTGAGGGTCTCCATAGATCAATATCACATACCTGAGGGTCTCCATAGATCAATATCACACACCTGAGGGTCTCCATAGATCAATATCACACACCTGAGGGTCTCCATAGATCAATATCACATACCTGAGGGTCTCCATAGATCAATATCACACACCTGAGGGTCTCCATAGATCAGTATCACACACCTGAGGGTCTCCATAGATCATATCACACACCTGAGGGTCTCCATAGATCAATATCACACACCTGAGGGTCTCCATAGATCAATATCACACACCTGAGGGTCTCCATAGATCAATATCACACACCTGAGGGTCTCCATAGATCAATGGCACACACCTGAGGGTCTCCATAGATCAATATCACACACCTGAGGGTCTCCATAGATCAATATCACACACCTGAGGGTCTCCATAGATCAATATCACACACCTGAGGGTCTCCATAGATCAATGGCACACACCTGAGGGTCTCCACAGATCAATATCACACACCTGAGGGTCTCCACAGATCAATATCACACACCTGAGGGTCTCCATAGATCAATGGCACACACCTGAGGGTCTCCACAGATCAATATCACACACCTGAGGGTCTCCATAGATCAATGGCACACACCTGAGGGTCTCCACAGATCAGTATCACACAC